CAAGTCATCTGTATTCAGAAGACTTTCTGCTTAAGAAGCACACATGAAAGACAGTGAATATAGTATGAGATTCCAATATTAAAATATACAACATGAACTGGAGACCAAGGTTGCTAGTAGCTGATTGCCTAAATTTTTGAATTATAATCATTACCTATAACAGCAGGATGACAGAGAGTTTCCCAGAGTGCTTCCCTGCTGTTCCTGCTCATGTCCAAAAGAATCAGAGAACTCAGGCTTCTTGAGTGTTATGTAGTTATAGCATCTTGGCTGAATATCTAAGCCAGGGTTTCCATGTCAAATTATCAAAACTTTAAGCTTTTTTCCAGTTGACACCAAAAGGAATTCCAGAAAAGTTTGGAGATTCTTTAAATGACAAAGCTCCCTATCGCTCCCTAATACTCAGTCCAAAGCATTGCAATCAAGTTCATATAGCGTTAACATATAATGTATTAACAATATGGCTTATGATAATATCTAAATCAAATGCTTAAGCAGTTGTTAAGAGATGGGATGACCAACTGTTCATGGGAAAGTATTTTCTGTGGACTTGTTTTCTGTCCTTCAGAACCATTTCAGTTTCTTCGATGGTTTGGTGTGTTAGGACAGTCACATAATCTGAATCTAGTAGAGGCCAGGATGGTAATGAGGAAACAGTGAATTAATTGTGTCTCACAACCATAGTCCTTCCTGTCTCACCCATTGCTCAGGGCTGTGTCTAAATTCAGAGTATGGCCCCACTATATTGTCGCTTATGAAGGGTGGCAAAATTTTGTACTCCAGTTTAACTCCTGCAAAATTCTTGGGCATTGGATTCTGGCCATCAGTGCTGGATGATACAACACCAATGGACTGCAATCGCTTTGTGATCATGGCTCTGTAAGAAGCTATTAAGTCAGATATTGCTGAGAGGAAATGACATGAAACTTAAGAAATTTGTTTATATATTAAATGCAAGTGCGGAAGTGATTTCAGCTTTGTTATTGTTGATAATACTCAAGGAGATGATACAGACATCAAAAAAAATCTGAATTCCTGTTTAATTAAAATCAGTCATTGAGGCTATCTCTACATGTCATCTCTCAGTTTGCAATGGAACCAGGACAAAATGCTCAGATGAAGTAGAAAAATGACTAACATAATTATTAGCAGCAGCTCTATATTATAAAACTAGGATGAAGAGATCCCGCTGGTGAGGGAAAGTACATGGATATACAGGCAAAACTGTGCAATTCAAGTCAATACCTATTTCGGGCTCAGTTTCAATACTCTCAAAGTACTATGTTGCAGAGATAGATTGAAATTGTTTAATTTTCAGTAAATATTCTCTGGTTTCCATGATTCTTTTAATAGTAGACTAACTTTTTTTTTTTCCACGCAGCAAATTTTCTGCTTGCCTACTTCCCCCAAGCACTCCTTTGCTATTATCTAGCTGTTATCCGGCAAAGACTGGTCTGAATAATGTTGTAAAGGGCTTGTGTCTTTTTCTGTTCAGTTATTGTTCCTCAAGTTTCAGAATCTGCGTGTACAAATTTATCTCCCAGTCCCGTTCTAGCGGAAAAAACCTGCAGCTTCTTCCATGTCTGGGTATGTCCAAGACCTTCATACCTCATCCTGCTTCTTTGACACAGACAGGTCTGAGGGGAGGGAAGAGGAGGTCAGAAAGAAGAAATCTACAGATCCTTCTATAAATTTAGGAGGTGAAATCATAGTGTGTGCATGTTTAGTTAGTTCAAGCTTCCTTTGACCTAATTTGCAGTTGTTTATACAGTTAATGACAATTGTTTATATGACTATGTTAAGTATCCTTCCACCACTTCTTTCCATAAGTCAAAACTGCCGAACAGAACTGGCATGACATTTCTGGATGGAATTTTAACCATACAAAAATAAGAAATGGCAAAATTCCCAGCTTGAATTTTGACACATCTGCTAAAAAGCCTGGCACTTGTGCTAGACCCCAGAGGATAATATGAATTACGCTGTCAGAGGACAAACAGTTCTGTGGTGGAGGAGTATTAGCCTGGATGCTGGCAGGCTTTCAGTGAAATCCTGTGTTCTACTGCAGGGGTCTTCCTGGGAAAGCACCCACTCTTGTCTCTGGGTGCTGTGATTAAGGCACTCGATGGTGATATGGGACATATGAGTCGGAGTGCCGATGAGCTGAGGGAAGAAATGAGCAGTATTCCTGAATCCGTCCTGGCTGCTTTGCTGCTGTTTCAGCTGGCAAGAATCTCCACTGCAGTCTGTGTGGTCTCCAACCCAGCTGGAGGGCAACAGCGACTGTGGGGCACAGAGCAGAGCAGCCTCCCTGGGCAGGTGGGAAGATCAGCATCTCATTGGGGTTACCTATGGGGCCAAGGCATGAAACAGGCACCCGACCTGTGCAGCCTTGTCAAGAACTGTTTCTGGGCACCCCTGAAGCGGAACTCATGAACCAGTAGACCTGTCGGTAAGGCAAAGGTGCCATGTGAGGTCATCAGTTCAGCTAACCCCATTTAAATCAGAGCTGTGTCTTTGTCAATAAATCTTCACTGTGTTCACTGACAAGGTATTTTCAAGCACGTCAAACCTCTGATTAAAGCCACAACGCATTTCCTGTTTGCATCCTGTAATGCCTAAACCCAGGACTGAGTACTCATATTTGAACCCTAGAAGAAGCTGACAACTTTAGGGTCAGCACAAGAGAGCAAGTCCTCTTTTAGATCCACATACAAGGAAAAAGCACACTCGCTCACACGTCTCAGAGCCGTGCAGGCTGCCTCAGCTGTGGATTTTCCGCACTCATCCTGCCAAACACATTCACAAGGCAAGACCCAGCTCTGCTCCCCCAGCACTAACCAGCACTCACCAGCCACTCCATAAGCGATAGCTCAAGCACGCAGGCAACAGACTCTGGAAGGGGAAGCCAACAGCCACAAGGAGCTGCAACATGCTTATCGGCAGGCATGCAAAAGTCAGTGAGAAATAATAGCTTCCAAAACGTTAAAAAGGGCTTGTTAAAATATTTGCCATCTGGTTGTGCTGCATCTCGCTGCTCTGACTGCTTTACCCCAGATTCCCTGGACACAATGTGCAGGGTGTTTACAAAACATTTAGCTGAAAGCAAAAAGGATAAGTGCCGTATGGTAACTGCTGCTGCGAGGTGCAGAGATACAAACACAATATTTAAAATGGTCCTGCTTTGTGTCCGAATTTCTTTGCAGAAATGCACATGCTATACTCTATGAATAGAGTTTGGGGTGCTGTCCCACAACTAACCGAGACAATCTTGTACCTTACTGCTGCCAAAAGGAGAGACCCAAGTATCCCAGCCTCATGCCTGGCTGCCTCCCTGCATCCCTGTTCCCATCTGTGCCATCCCACCCCTCCTTCGTGCTGGCTTGGGTGCTCTTCTAAGCCTTAGGGAGCAGTGCAGTTACTAACCTGAGCAGAAAACTATTGTTGGTGGTGTTGGGGTTATTTTTCTGGGCTGCTTTCCTCTAGCTTCAGCCCTCTGAACCAGTTCAGTGAGGGCACACTTGATATCAGAAGGGCACAGGGAAACAGCAAGAGTGCTGGGCAGGCTGGGAGGAGCAGGAGCATCCCTTTACAGCACCAGTGAGCTATTGGCAAAGCTGCCCTCATCCCACTGCAGCCTTAGACATAAACATCTGTGCCACTTAAAGGCTCTGACCTGGGTCATGCATGCAGTGTGACCCTACTCCAGCTGGCCAGTTCAACTCCAGTTTCCTTTGGAGGGAGGCCACGACTTTTCCCCAGGCCACCTCACAGACTGCAGAGCTCAGCTGCTGTGGTGCCAGGGTTGTGTTTTTGAAGTTTCCAATGTTTGCTCTCACTGGAAAAGTGGTTTCTTTTCCTTCTTTTTCTCATGTTCAGAAAGAAGTATTATTTTTAGCTCATTTTTCTCCTTTTGAACTTGCATTTGGACATTAAGTCAACACAGGAGACTTCTGCTTCAAAAGATGGATGTCTCAGAAATGACAGGCAAGAAAGAGAGAACCAAGTGACAGTGGTTCTGCAAACCCCTGCAGAAAGTGCAATGCATCACGTTCAGAAAAGGACATAGGAAGCAAAAGTAAGACTTCTGGCAAATTGGGGAACTTGGAATCTACAGCTCAAATCCTCATTGTCTTCCATCTGACTTGGGGGGCATGTATTAAAATGTTCCTCTGAAGACCCCTGAAGTCCCAAGGTGTTGTCTAGGGCAATTTCTGGCATTTCATCTTCAGTTGTGAAAATGCCCTTGGCTGACAGGCTATGCAGACCAGGATATATGATTTGGGGTCCTCTACTGAGACTTTTACATTGTGGTGTGGAGGTTTCCTGGGGCAAGTACAGGAGAACAAGGGGATGCAGCCATAAATCTGTGATTACACAGGCCAGGTAGCAGCACAGGTGATGGTTCTGAACCATGCTGGGATATCAGGTTCAAGAGAAGAGATAAATGAGTCATTTGTATAATCAGTTACATCACAAAAATTATCAGAACAAAGTGGGCTAAAGGAAGGGGTTCATTCCTGACATGCTGAGGTGCTCCATGGCTGCCACACTGAGAAAACCGAGGGACAGTTTTAGGAGGTCTCTTATCGTCTGCTACAAGGAATTACAGATTGCTGTCCCTCACAAAGACCCAGGTCCCTTTAGCACTTCTGAAAAATGAGGTGATTTTTATCCAGGTGACTGATCATAGATTTAGATACTTGTAAGTTTAAAATACTGGTCCAGTTTAGGAATGCAGAAAAAAAAATACTGTCCAATAATATGATTGCGAAATCAGGGGTTTTCGGGCAAGGTAAATTGTCATGTGTTAGCTTGCTTCTAAAACCAAATTTGTTTTCTATTTTTCTGTGGGAGATCAGAGAGGATGTTATAAACTGAGTCATGCAGTTATTGACTTTAGCGAGCACACAACCGATATAAATAGAGAAACACTGGTGAGCCTTGCACAGAAGAAGAAGAAGAGATTGAGAGGTCTTCTAGCAAGGGCTGATAGGACAGGGAGGCAAAGATGAAGACAAAGATCCTTCCTTTCCTTGGGTTACTATATGTTGTATGTTCTTATGCTTTCCCAGTGGTTCCAGAAAAGGAAAAAGATATGCAATTTGCTAAGGTAAGGACTACAGACAGAACTTAAGAAATAATTTATTGAGAAAATGAACATAGTGATGTATTAGTGATGTAGAATATTTTATTAACAATTATCTGCATTTGAAAAGAAATGTTTATGTTCTAAACTGTTGCTTTTTCTTCCCCATCAGAAATATCTGCAAAATTTTTATGATTTTAAAGAAGAGAAAGATTCTCTATTTAAATCAAAGAACCTCAATCACATGGCTGACAAAATCCGAGAAATGCAGTCATTCTTTGGGCTAGAGGTGACTGGGGAGCTGAATCATAAGACGCTGGACATGATGAAGCAGCCTAGATGTGGAATACCAGACATCCGTTCATACAGCACCTTCCCAATGAGCCCTAAGTGGAAGAAAGAAGATGTGACATATCGGTAATATATATTAAAGCATGTTTCTCTAAACCACTGGGAAGCTTTATAAATGCTAGCCAGAATACCAACAGGTTCTTTACTATTTATTCTTGTATTTCTCCATATAAAAGCCCCATTCAGGATGAAAGAGCCATGAATGTGGGGACTATTCATATCCTTTGCTTTAGGCTTCCAAACAGTGATGAAATTACCAAAATAGGAGGTTTACATTAGTTAACAGCCTACTAAATAATATACTGGGTGGATAGAAGGGATACAACTGAGAGTATATATGTTAGGATTTCTGAAAGACATGAAAGAAAACTGTGAAAACCTCCTCTATTATATAAGCAAATAATCTGAAAATAAACAACTCGAGACAAATAATTATAACCACCAATTAAAATATTTGACCTTGATACTATATGCCCCAGCCACATGTGATCTCATTGCTTTTAATTCCTTTCTCTTTATTTTACAGGATTTTGAACTACACTCCAGACATGCTGCAAGCTGATGTAGAAGAAGCAATTGCAAAAGCCTTCCAGCTCTGGAGCAGCGTCACCCCGTTGAGATTCACCAGGCTTCACAGTGGTCAAGCAGATATAATGATCTCCTTCGCAGCTGGATGTAAGGGAGCACTCTTGTTTGGGAATGATAAGTATTTGTCACTTTTTCTTACCAAGATGATGAAAGCATCACTTTTTTTTTTTTTTTTTAACTTTTTTTTAGTTCATGGTGACTTCTATTCCTTTGATGGTCCAGGAGGAACTCTGGCTCATGCCTACCCTCCCAGCAGTGGGATAGGAGGAGATGCTCACTTTGACGAAGATGAAAACTGGACCAAATTTACTACCTATGATGGTAGGTAACCTTAAATATTACATTGCCTGTTTTTTATTAGACACTGTTGTCTTGAAAACACTGTAAAGTAACAGATTCCATGGCAGTAGTTCCAGTATTCATTAAGATGTAAAATTTCAGTGTAATTCAGTAAAATGATTCTGCGTATTTTGACCTGGGCTGCAGTCATGACAGTACCCTGAAGTTAATGCCCAGACTGCAACTGCAGATCCAGTGAAGGAAATCAGATTAGCATTAAACAGCAATATTGGGTCATCATGACATTGTAAGGCAGGGAATTCTGACCCTCAGTTAATAACCTTAAAAGTTGTAATATTGAGCTCTCACTTTAAAAATTTTCTTTATGATTTAAAGTGATGGAAATCTTTAATTTTTGCAAAGGAAAAAGAAATCCTTAGTTTGTTGGTAAATATAACAGTGAAGTGTTCTGATTTCCAGCAATGTTCAGGGATGACAGCCCACATGTTACTGCTCTTTGTGAAGTCGTTACCAGGTGAATTCAATGTCATTTATGATTTCCAAAAGCTGACCAGATGACTAAACTGTTCTCACTCAGTTTTCAGTCATTATTAATTTTAAAGAAACTTTGATTGTTTGTTGGCAGGAAAATTTCTGCAGCATGAGGAAAAATGTCCCCTGATTGGTTTTCCTGTGAGAAATAAATTTTTATAATTGGAAATTCATTTCTTCTCTAGGATGTCAGAGAACCTCTTACTTGGGACACAATTAGATTTTGCTGTTTTATTAACACTGCGAATGGTATATCACATTTGAGAGGATGGCATCTGTATCCCACTCGCATGCAAGAAAATGTATTGAGTGTTTGTGCTGTTATTTTTTCTTTAGGATACAATTTATTTCTTGTTGCTGCTCATGAGTTGGGCCACTCACTAGGTCTTGGTCATTCAAATGTCTTCGGTGCTTTGATGTATCCTATATATACGGCCAGGGATACAAGGGACTACAGGCTTCCTCAGGATGATATTGATGGCATTCAGGCCCTTTATGGTAAGCAAGAAGCATCATTTTTTATTACCCAACAGCTAAAAAGTACTAAACTTTCTACTGCAGGAAGGATACTGAGGTTTAATTTCCTGATATTATTTTGGGCAAATCTCTTGGTTTCTTTGTGGCTAAGAGTCTACATCTGCAAAATGGAATTTGTGGGCTGTGTCTATGCCAGTAAGTCAAAAAGTCCAACAGCCTTTCTCCAAAGAATGGGCAGAAACAGCCTGTGTCTGTAGTATTAAACTCTCTTACTTTCCACAAAAGAGTGATCGCATGTACAACTGCCCTTTGGAAATGGCGTTTGCTCTACGTCAAATCCTGAGCACATACAGTTTGAGAGGCCAATAGCTTGTCAAGGCAAAACAATGCCAGAGACCATTTTAACAGTCAGCAACACAGACAGCCAAGTTAAATTGCCCAAGAACTTTCTCTGGCATTAATTTACTGAGTTTTAACCTTAAGAAACGTATGCATTTGGCTCCATGTGGTACATCCTAAAGCTCTGCAACATGAAACACTCTAATTCACCTTCCAATTCCACACTTATCTATTTCCTAAAGGACCCCCGAGGGAATCTCCTGCACTTCCAACAACAGCTCTTCCCCCACAAGAATCAACTGAAATGACACCTGCAGAAGCACCAACTGAAATGTCACCCCGGGAAGAACCAACAGAAACTACACCCTCCAAAGCACCCGCAAGACCAGAGGACTGTGACCCTCATTTGACTTTTGATGCTATCACCACTCTCCGTGGGGAAATACTGTTCTTCAAAGGCAGGTAAGCGCTTTCATTTCCAGCAACACATTTCTGAGAAGCTTACAAAGGCAAAAGATAAAGCTCAGTTCAAGGAATTTATCTTTCCTTGGTTACAAAAGAAGATATTTCTTTCTGAAAGTATTAAGGCAAGTTTGCAAAGTTTTACTAGCCCAGCAGGGCTGGGTGAGTAACATGGTTTACTGACAGGTGAGTAAAAAGTTTTAAGCCATCATCCATCATCACCCATGTCTGTTAAAATTGTGCAAGGCTGAATAATCCCAGTGTCATTCCTAAGCCTGCAGCTGCTTCACATGCAGCACCATGCTTGTCACACCATCATGTGTGTGGGTTAGAGACCTGAGGAAAATGTCACTATTGCCTTTTGGTGGCACTCTGACCTAGGAGTCCATACTGGACCACTGCCCAGTACTGTCTGTAGGAAGCCCCTGCTGTTATAGGTGTCCACTTTTGGGGCACGCTCTGACACTAGGTACTGTAGTGGGTTGTTGGCTGGGCACATCCACCCTGGAGAGGGAGAAGAGGCCCAGGGTGTCACCCACTTCTTGGGTTTGTAATTGCATTTTGATTGAACAAGCTTCCTTTGATGGTGTGGGTCTGATTTCCCTTCTAGAACACATGATGAAAAAACTAATAGTTTTCAGGGAAGGGAAGGAAGGAGCAGTTCCTCCTTAAACTGAGTTTCAACATGTTTCCTAAGAATGTTCAATGAACATTTGCAACCAAGTTGAAATTAAGAACGCAACTGTGCCTACCTGCATAAGACATAGTGAAGACAAAGCTTCAATTGTCAGCACTACACAGACAACACCTGTTGTCTTGGGCAAGCCATCAGGGTGTCAGTGGAGAGGTCTACAAGGCCACCAGCTCTAGGTGCACCTGCCTGAGCTGAGGGGTTGGACAAAATGTCCAGAGGTCCCTTCCAACCTCCACTGTTCTGGGACCTCAGAACAATCGGTAATAAAGGGCAAATGTCTATGACAGAGCAGGGCAAAGTGAAGCACTGTATCCCAACAGGGGTGATACCTCTGCCTCACAGGGAGGACTGGCTCCAGCACCCAGACAGTAGGATTTAAAGTACTTTTCTGTGCTACTGATCTCTTAGTGAAACACAAATGAAACACTGCTGTTTTCATTTCTATCAGCTATGTCTGGCGCAAAAGTCCATATTTCTCAGAGATTGAGCATGACACCATCTCCTCCTTCTGGCCATCACTGGCAGGTGGCTTTGATGCTGCTTATGAGGTTGACAAGAAGGATCGAGTAATATTTTTTAAAGGTATTTCTCTTATATTTCCATGAGTCCTTTTTATAAATTAATAAAGTTATAGTACAGTTACCTTGAAAAAACTTTGTTATGTAATAAAATAATAATATATTCTTAATTTTTAATATCATTTTCATTTTCAAAATGCTGTTACTGTCATTAACTAACACTGCTTCATGACAGTCCTGTATAATATATTACACTTCTTTTGTCAGTGAGAGAAGATCATAGCTGAGAAAAAAAATTGATTGCCTATATCATTATTTAAATACATTTTTAAAGGTGCCAAACACACTTAGAAAATATGTTGAGTTTTAGCAATTGAGTATATAACACTCTAATGACTATAAAAAGTGGAAAATCCTACAGCTCTGAAATATTCAAACTTATGTGTGCCCTAGAGGATCATGTTCTCAGCTGGACTTCTGTGCTATTTACTGTGCATTTCCTACAAAGAAACCTCCGGGGCTTTGGTAAAAAGGAGCTCAGCCTCCTCAGGAATCCCTACTAACTTTTTCTGGTTTTCCTGCAGATGACCAGTACTGGGCTGTCAGTGGCTATAATATAGAGCCGGGCTTCCCCAAGCCCATTCAGAACCTGGGCTTCCCCACAAGTGTCAGGAAAATCGATGCAGCTGTTCATGATCAAAATACCAAGAAAACCTATTTCTTTGTAGGCAACAAGTACTGGAGGTAAGCCTTATTCCTCTTTTACACAGAAGATACTCAAAATAGCTTTTAAAATGTTAAGTTATGTTAGAATTTGTACAGTAAGTTCGTGGCCTCTCATTTTCAGCCTTCTCGGCTAGTATAAACCTGAAACACAGAGGCAATTACTCATATCTCCTCGTAGAACAAAGTCTGTAACACCTGAGATAAAGACAACATCCATTTACTATTACCAGTCTGTGATTAAAAGATACAAGCAAATGAGCTTTGTTTACCTGTTAGGAAGCAGTATTACATGAAATTAGTATAAAAAGATAATGTGAGTAGACTTTGTCATCATGTCATGTGTTCATTCAGTAGCAATTAAGGGACAGAAGTGCTCTCTGAAATTTATAAATGACAAATCTATCAAGAAAGCTATGAAAAGAGGTTAAAATATTTACTTTTTAAGAAACAGTTCAGCTAAGCAATAATGCTAACCCTAATAATTAATCTGTAATATTATGTTGAAAGAATATTATTAGACCAGAAGTTTTCACTCATGAGGCCACTTCATAGATTGGATGATGTAAAATTAAAATGTTTGGTTTGAATAATTATTTAATTCCTCTGTATAAGCCCTATCCAGCTTTGTTATCAGTCACAGGGAATGGAAGTGAACTATTTAGTCTGATGTTCTGAAACTAGCCTTGTATAGGCCACTGAAGATGTGAATGCTCACACAGGCAGGATTTATACAGTTCTATGAGATCACAGATGCTCAGAGTTACTGGATTTTCAGCTGAGAGTAGGCTTATTTAGTAAAAATTCCACCTGGTTTCAACATTGAATATCACATGTTTGTTTCTTGTTTTCATGCAATTTCTTTATTTAGTTTCAATGAAAATACCCAATCATTGGAAAGGGGATATCCACGAAAAATAGCAGCTGACTTCCAAGGAATTGGCCACATAGTTGATGCTGCCCTTCAGAAAAATGGTAAATAAATTAAAATGTAATTAAAACCAAAATAAAAGATCACCAACCAAAGCCAAAATGTATATGTTTCAAATACATATATCTATGAAATGTTTGTTCTGATATTTTTTTTAAATCACCCAAGAAAATAGCAAGTGTATATCAATATGTATACAAAAAGGAAATATTGATTTGCCAATATTTTGTCCTTCCAATTCTAGGACTTTTCTACTTTTTCCATGGAGCAAACCAGTATGAGGTTGACGTCAAGAGCAAGAAACTCATCCGTATAATGAAGAACAACAGCTGGTTTAATTGCCAGAAATATTAAGTGATAGTGCAGGGCTGTATTTGTACCAGAAATGTTTTTTCATGTTCTTTGATTACAAACAATATCATTCAGCTGTTACTGTGCGTCTGAAATGATGGCCTTTGATAATTCTAATTTAAAATCTTAAAAATATAAAACAATGTACAGGTTTAATTTATTTTGTTTTCCAACTATTTATTAATCAGGTTGTTTTTGAGTAATAAAATATTTTGTTTGAGTATAGCAGCATTCATGTGTTTTGGTTCAGTCTGCTGGTGACAAGACATCTGATATAATCACACACAAGCCTGGATGGCTCCAGGACCCCACCACCATTTTTAGCAGAGCTCATTGTCCATAGCAGGGGAAGTTAAAGAGAAGCAGAAGTAGATGGACAGTTTCAACAGGCAATAAGAAATGACCCGGGGGACACAGGAGGGAAATGAAGACACTCAGGAACAACGCAGGGGAGGCAGAAGAGGTAGGAGGAGATCCTATGTGACGGTATGGGAAGGGCTGTGGAGAGGCTGGTGGCTGTGGCCTCATCTGCCATGACCCCACAGCATGGGGACAGAGTGGTCAGGGCAGGGATGGGGATGGGTGCCTGATGGTAGATGGGGGACATGGCAATGGGCTAAGAGAACCTCTGCTCCAGTGCTGCTGTGGGTGGTTTTGGTAGGCAGGGTTGGTACAGCAGGACATGAAACACCAGAAAGAAGGGTAGGTGTCTGGTTTGGGGATGGAGGCAGCACGCAGGCAGGGTGGGAAGTGATGGAGATATCATGGCATCCCAGAGAGTCAGGGAATTACCCCTGCTGAGCTGTGACCATGTGCCATGGTAATGGAGTCAGAGCTGATGGTCCAGCTCACAATGCTGGACAAGAAACTACTCACAAGACCCACTTTCCAGAGCAAACAAGCCAAAATTATAAGAACGCCCCCCCAGGATTTTCATGTAACTACTAGAGACGAAGCCTCCAGAGGAAGAGTAGTGAGGCACAGACAAACGCACATGCGTTTCCTTCATCTACGTTGTGTGGGTCCCCCTCACAAGGAAACAGCTCAATGACTAAAACACCCCTTGGGCTGTAAGAAAACTTGGCTGAAGTCTGTCCTCTCCTTGAAAGGATTTGATCCCATCTCTCACAACGCTGCTCTGATGATGGGATTGTACAAGGAAGTAGACTCCTCCTTGCTATTCCTCTTTCTCTAGCAGAATTGGCAAAGGCAGCAAGAGGGTACGGGAATGGCTGATGAGGACAGTCTTCCAGTTACCATAGCTCAAACCCCATTAGGCAGAGGTAAGATTTGCTCCCGATCTTCTGCACAGAGCAGATCCCTCAGACATGTGGCCAAATACCTACTAACATCTGTCACACCATTCATCAGGGCCAGAGGAAGCCATGTGTCTCCCAGTGTACCCACAGACCCACTGTCTCACTGTGCTAGCAGACAAGACCAGGGACAGGCAGCCGAGATGCTGCCATGTCTGATCTTGATAAACCTTTCCTCTGCCATGTTCTGCTCCTCATGTATGCTCTGTGCCATGCTAGATACACACTGAGCACCGCTAAAGCAAGTCCTGAAACCAGCCTAGGTGAGAAATTAAGCTATGAATCTCAGTAGGGCTTAAAAGTCAAGTAGGGACTGAACAGCTCAGCATTGCTGCAAGGGCAGTGGCACACCACAGTGAAGTCATGGACTGACAAGTGGGTGAGCTCACCTGGCAGCAGTCCAGGCAGGCCAGAGACACAGGAAAACTGGTGTTGCCCCAACATCTCCCAATATCTTTCTCAATAGCTTGTGCTGTGTATACAGCCTGTCCAGAAGAACCTTCGGTCCAAGGACTTTAGATGCCTCCAGGGTGAGGCAGGGGACTTGTGAGTAGTGGTTGTACATGGAGTTAATTCCCTTTGATTTTAAAAGTGCCTATACACTTCAATATCCTAACTAGATACCTTCTTGCGTGTGAAGGCTACCTTCAGAAATCAGGCCTTTAGGCTCTGGTTGTTGGCTGAGACTTGAAAGTGGTTAAGGAGGAACCAAAAAGAATATTTCAGCAGTGGTGAAGCAGATCATTGACAATATTTGTGATGACTCACATTGGCCATTATATTAACTTATTTCTCTTACATAAGGCTGGTACTGCTTTTTAGTTATGACCTCAAGGAAACAACTACATTAAAATACTCCCCTCATCTCCAGGTTTTAATTAGCTTAAACTACCAGTATCTGAAAAGTGAATTATATTTACTTGGCTGTGAAGGAGAATATAGAAAGCGTCCTGGGTTTTGGTTTAATCCAGACCATAAATGAAAGACAACATGGCATGGATTTCACCTGGACAAGTGGACTGGTGGGAGGTGTTAACCATGGATTTTCCATTTGTATTTCTGCTTTGCTAATGTCTTAAACTTTAGCAATGAAAGAACATTACTTTTGGTTTGGGAAAAGCAGTGATATTCCTGGCAAATGGCATAATAATACGTAATTCAGATGGTTTTGGAAACAGGAGTGCTGGAGCTGCCTGTCTAAGCTTAATGGGCAATAGAAGATTTCTTGTAAGCATGATTTTGTTATAACTCATAAATGATTGCAGGAATTAAAGGCCTTTTGGATACCAACAGGGGAAATTTGTCTATAAACATAATTTCAAATACTCATCCTCTATGAATGTGAACTTTCCCTGCAATCTGAGACCAGGCATGCAAAAATAGAGACACACAAAAAAACCCAGTTACATTTGAAATTCTTGACTGCACAACTGTTGTCCCAGGCCCAATCTCATGCACATGAAAACTCACTTAATGACTTCACTGACAGTTTAATAGGGCCCTTACAGAGTATCAGTTGTGCAAGCTTGTAACAGTACATACTAACACAAAAACGTAAGGAGCACAAGAAGCAAAAAGATTCTGGGGAGTGTCTGCTCTCCTGGCACTTCAGCCACATATACCAAGCACTTCTAAATGTTACGGCAAAGCAATGGGCTCCAGACATCAACATCCGACAGTTCAGTCACCAGCACTTGCTCTTGAGCTGGAAAACTGGTTTAGTCCCACTAGCCGCGGCTGTCATATGTTGCTTTTTGGGAAGGAGAATGAGTGTGTTACACAGAAGTCTTTGGAATTGATATGACAAGGATCTACTGCGTTTCCTCTTCCTGGCCTGATTTTTAAGACAGTTGCTGTGGTTGTGAGGGAAATTTGGAAAGATATGTCTAATGCTATTCTCTGTGCCTGGGATTTAAGATTTTCTTGGACAGGTTTTGCATACAAAGCAAGACTTCACTCAGGGCCAGACAGCACTGCCACAAGCAAGGAGAAAATGAAGAATTAAGCTGCCAGGAGGCCCTAAATACTCAGCACTGGAGAGCAAAGAGTGACCTGTGTGTAAGCTGACTGGGACAAGAGTCCCAGTGAATCAGCATTACCATGCTGGAGATGGATGACTGTTATATAAAAGCCAGAAGTAGGTCACACACTCATCTTCATCAGCAGTATGATATTTTTGAGGCTAGGTTTGGGCAGCCAGGTCTGAGGGTTTACAGCACAGCCAGGAAGGAAATGTCAAAGGCGCTGAGTTCGGCACCGCTCGTCCATGGCACAGGCTGAAGCTGCAGTTCTGCTGCTCAGAAGCTTCCCATGCACGGACCTGCTCTCCCAGGTTTTGGCCAGGGGTCCTACACTGCTACGAGTCCAGCCTGCCCAGGGCACTGAGAGTGCGTAAGGCAGTGGAGTGGGGCAGTTTCAAGCTCCACGTAATTGTGGTGGGTTGACCCAGGCTGGAGGCCAGGTGCCCCCAAAGCTGCTCTGTCACTGCCCTCCTCAGCTGGGCAGGGGAGAGAAAATATAATGAAAGGCTCCTGGGTTGAGATAAGGACAGGGAGAGATCACTCACCTGTTACTGTCATGGGCAAAACAGACTCGACTCAGGGAAATTGATTTAATTTATTAGCAATCAAATCAGAGTAATGGGAAATAAAACCAAATCTTAACACACCTCCCCTGCCCATCCTTCTTCCCAGGCCCAACTTCACTCCCCATTTCTCTCCCTCCTCCCCCCTCAGCAGCACACAGGGATGGGGAATGGGGGTTGTGGTCAGTTCATCACACGCTGTCTCTGCCACTCCGTCCTCCTCAGGGGGAGGACTCCTCACACTCTGCCCCTGCTCCAGCATGGGGTCCCTCCCACCGGAGACAGTCCTCCACCAACTTCTCCAACGTGAGTCCTTCCCACGGGCTGCAGTTCTTCACCAACTGCTCCAACGTGGGTCTCTCCCACGGGCTGCAGACCTTCAGGAGCAGACTGCTCCAGCGTGGGTCCCCCACGGGGTCACAAGTCCTGCCAGCAAACCTGCTCTGGCGTGGGGTCCTCTCTCCATGGGTCTACAGGTCCTGCCAGGAGCTTGCTCCAGCGTGGGCTTCCCATGGGCCACAGCCTCCTTCAGGTGCCTCTTTCGGGTGCATCCACCTGCTCCATCATGGGTTCCTCCATGGGCTGCAGGTGGATATCTGCTCCATCATCATCCTCCAGGGGCTGCAGGGGGATAGCAGCTTATACATGGGCCTCCATGGGCTGCAGGGGGACAGCCTACCTCACCATGGTCTTCTCCACAGGCTGCAGGGGAATCTCTGCTCTGGCACCTGGAGCACATCCTGCTCCTCCTTCCGCACTGACCTGGGTGTCTGCAGAGTTGTTCCTCTCACATCTTCTCACTCCTCTTGCTGGCTGCAATTGCTCCTGGTGGTTTTTTCCCCCCTCCTTAACTCTGTTACCGCAGAGGCACTACCACCATCGCTGATGGGCTTGGCCTTGGCCAGCAGCGGATCCGTCTTGGAGCCGGCTGGCATCGGCTCTTTCAGACATGGGGGGAGCTTCTAGCAGCTTCTTGCAGAAGCCACCCTCATAGCCCTCCCATTACCAAAACCTTGCCACCCAAACCCAATACAGTAATTAAGCCCTCATCCTTTGCAGAACAAATGAACTTAATTATATCATGTTGAGGCTCCAGGACATGTTCTTTCACTTTTCTCTGTATTACATTATGCATTAGGTTTTAAATATATAAACTGTGCATTAGCAATAACCTTGCCAAAAAAGGAGCAAATTTTAACACTTCTTGTCAGCGTTACATGTCTGTCTTTGGTACAGCTAGCAGGGGCTGCTGCTACGGGAATGCATCACAGGCAGAAGATTGACTTGGGAAGAGGAAAAGATAAGGGCAATCTTAAGAGATTATCC